CATCCTGATGCAACTTATTATCGGTCATCAGTTACCATAGAACTGTATCTCTCTACATTGCTTCATTTCCTCATAGATTTGACTTTTAAGTCAAAGGCTTGTAAAGTGGCCCACTGAGAAAACCAACAGTTCGGTTTTGGTGTCCGGGTGGCACATCGATTACTACCCTAAGTAACAATGTAAGCATATTCGGGATGCGGTTTTACCCCTCAAAATGCAAAATGTTGCTTCAATATTGGCTTGCATTGGCACCTGAACTAGTGATGGGGAGTGAAGTAGTCGAGCATGTACACCGTTTCACTTGTCTTGGGAGTCTCATCAGTGCTGGTGGCCTCGTTAATGACGAAATCTCAGCACGGATACAGAAAGCTCGATTGGCTTTTGCCAATTTACGCCGTTTATGGCGTAGGCGAGACATCCGTTCGCTAACCAAAGGATAGGTGTACTGCGCAGCAGTTCGCTCCGTCTTACTTTATGGCTGTGAAACATGGTCAGTGAGAGTAAAAGATATTCGAAAAGTTACTGGTTTTCGATCATAGGTGTCTTCGAAGCATTGCTCGTATATCGTGGGACACCCGAGTAAGCAACGCTGTTATTAGGAAACGGCTGCTAGGTAAGAATGACAAATTAATAGATGAAGTAATGAAACTTCATTAGTTGAGGTGGTTGGAACATTTGCTACGTATGGTGTAGGAGTAGATTGGAAGAGAGCTAAGAGCGGCCAAACCAAAACATGGCACAAATCCACGAAATCATTGACAAGGGGACTGAGTCACGTTGGTAGATATAGGCTATCTAGTTGGGGTCCGCGAGACTAAGGTCACCGATGGTTACAGACCTTGAATAACAAGGCTCAAAATCGTTTGCAATGACGCAGGTGCGTCCACTCTTTGTGCTCTCTCAAATTCTAACCTTCTGAATTCTCCATCATCTCTATCTTCCTCTTTCTAAAGTTATCTTACTGAGTTATACTTCTTGAATCATATCTTCGAACCCTAATCTTCTCCGTTACTGCTAATAATTCTAACCCTTCCTTCCTTGTGAGAAGGCAGCATCGCTGCGGATGCTGGTTGTCCGAGGGAAACACCTTACTGCTGTCACACCCCTCCACAGTCATTCAGCAGTTCGACTTCGCCCTCAGACCTTGGGTAGCTGCTTTTAGTCTCATCGTTCTCCAATCGACCTGCCTGGCATGGTAGAACCTTCAGGAACATATGTTCCAGCCAATATAGCTCGGTTGGATCATCACAATAGTCAAGGTAGCAGCTTCGGTCGGGACCTCTACCACTATGGGATTTCAACTGATAGTTCCATCTCTGTGCTAATGTGTGGTATGGCAACCTGATCTGATGTACGTAAGTACTTACAAAGTTCTATGTTGTAACTGACTGACTGACTGACTGACTGCACATCAGTGTTTAGGTGTTCCTTTTGTACCAATCAATGTCTACATGTTTGACAAGCTGAAAACAAGCCACATACATACAACACAATAAATAACCTACCGTGCCGCTTCAATATTCAAACCAACAATTATCGCTCGAATACGTATCATAGCCGATGCAATAATCGCTGTGAAACGAATCTCTGGTATCACAATATTTCCATTAATCTGATTTGATGATGATGATGTTGACAGATCATTGTCATTGACCTTCATCATAAGATGATCATTCGATGGGTGGTGGTAGTAGTTGTTCAATGAAATTATTGATCGTGTATCCATCTGACTAGCAGGATTATTAGTATTATTGGCCGGTTGTAATAAGACAGCGTACACTGGTATTAAACGTTTTGATAAATCTATTAAATAGTCAATCATTCGCACATACTCATCAGCATCATCATCATCAGCATCATCACCGTGATCAATGTTCAATTCTGTTGGGAATGAACGTTTTCTGTTGTTGTTTAAAATAACACTCGCAGTAGGATGATGAGTTGACAATGAGGAGGAAGTTAATGTTGAATGAGATGAGAATGTAGCTTTTCCATTTTGTTGATTGGAATTTGAATTCGATAATAAATTGATAATTGATTGTAAAGCATTCAATAAATATTGGACATTGAATTGATGATGATGATTATTGAATAAATTTACCAAGTTAAATATATTTGAACATAATTCCAATGTATATCTAGATTCAGAATTTGTTTTACCAGAGAATAAATGATTGATCTAAAGAAATATAACGAGAGAATGTTAGTAGATATTTTAAACTGTGAACCATGAATCGATCAATGTTAGACAGAGCACCATTAGAAACCTGGAAGCACTGAAAGACGGCCGTTTCGTCCTGGTATGGGACTGACTCATCAGTAGCAGTGCGCATCCACGACTCCTGCACCCCGCAGGATTCGAACCCCAGGAACTTCGGTATTGTGCGCGAACGCCCTAACCGTTAGACCACTGACGGTGTTAATGTATAACTTGATCAAATTCACGGAGTTGCGCAACCTCATACACAGTCTTCGGTAGTAGTTACTGTCTACAACCGAACAGGTTGAACTTCACTGGTCACGTCTTACCACCACTAGAACTCGGAGAAGATTCTCCTCACGAAGCTAGTCACTAGTGAGCGCACTGCTGAAGAGTCCCATACCAGGACGAAACGGCCGTCTGTCAGTGCTTCCAGGTTTCTTCTAATGGTGGTCTAACATTGATCGATTCATGGTTTCAAAAATGTGTAACTTAACAATCTTCAGAACCCCGTAATGTAAAATAGATTTGTAAGGAATAATAACGATTGAGTTCTCAATTTTTTTATTACAAAAACTCTAGACTTTTGATATGCTCGTCTAAATTGATATGCTTGAATAATGAATGCTATTACAAGTTCACCTTACTCGGTATACGGAACGAAGAGCAATGATTCAGTGACACGATTGGGCTATTCTAATCCATTTATCCGAGGCTTTGCTAACTAGATCAATGTTGAGGATGTTAGAAGATCCCCAGAACTCGCTTGATATAAATGCCTTATTTTGGATTTCATGTTTGCCAGCATGGGTTGATCAGTTGACATTGAGATTTCATTTTCCACCAGGAAAATCCTTGGCTGTGATTGGCTGCTGTGTATTTTAGTGTGCTATTTTCGTAACTGTCCCAAGGATGTATAAATAAACGAGAGTTGTGTGCTTGATTGTATTGTGTGATTGCTGGGTGTTTGTAGAATATACTTTCTACGCTATATCAAGACTTCTGTTTTACAGCTTGGGATTCAAGGTAGCCTACCTGGACGTTGGTAATTGTCTCGTTCGCGTTTATCGATTAAGGTGAACTCGTAATAGCTTCAAGCGTACCAAGTGACGAATATAACAATCAAGAAGTCTTGATAAGGCGTAGAGAGTGCTATGCTTTGCAGTGTAGGAGTAGATTGGAAGAAAGTTAGGGACGGCCAGACCAAAGCACTGACAAGTGAACTGAGTCTTGTTGATAGATGTAGGCTACCTGGTTGGGGTTCGCGAGACGAAAGTCACCAATGGTTAGAGACCTTGAACGACATGGCTATGAATGGTTTGCAATGGCGCAGGTGCATCGACTCTTTGTGTTCTATGAAATTGTGAGCTTCTGAATTGCTCATCATCGCTAACTTTCTCTTTCTGAAGTTATCTTACTGAATTATACTTCTCGAATCATATCTTCGAACCCTAATCTTCTCCATTACTGCTAATACTTCTATTATTGCTATCACTCTTGGATTTGAACTGACAGTTGCGTCTCTGTGTTGATGTGGTATGGCAACCTGAACTGATGTACTTATGTACGAAGTTCTGTCAGTCTCAGTTTGTACTTCCAGTACAGAAAGTTACACTCATCAACTCCTTAAACCGAAGTAAATTTATTTATTTTAGTAGACATTAATTTGGATACAACAAAAGGAATCAAAGAACAGTAGTACACATTAGACACAAATAATGATAGTTGAAATGAGATACAGTTTAAAAATGAAGGCAGTTTCAATTAAGGAGTCGCTGTCGGAAAATTTGAGTTTTAATCCATCAGTCAGCGAGTGAATCAACGGATCAAGAAACCGATTATCACAATAACTGTTGACTAAATTCATAAATCATTTGTTTCTTCAAGATTATATCAAAGACTGATTAGAAATTACGGTATTTCATGTCCGCTAAGGGGTGGATCCCCCTCTCTGTATCGGACTAACTCGGTTTAAGAGATTGATGAGACTGATTTTGATCGAATCACTTTTGTAAGAAAAAAAACCCACGTAAATAAGATTAAGAGGTGTGATATGAGAGTATTTAACTAACGAAAGATTGAACTTTTCCTCAATCTCAATTATACAAGGTTATTTAATAAGGTCAAATTGTAGTAGATGATGAGTCAAAGTTCACACTTGTGACCTATTTGGTTTATAGATGAATACTTATAATAATGATCAGTAGTATAAATAACTTGAAAATGATTATTTAGGTGGATTGAGGCTACCCATAATTACGAAATGATGGAAAGGTAAACTATAAACTCATTTTATTGCATACTCACTTATAGAGAAGGCGAAATAGCTATTTGCTAACCGAAGGATGAGTTTATTGTGCAGCAGTTTGCTCCATCCTACTATATGGGTATGAAATATGACCAGTAAGAGTAGAAGATATTCGTAAGTTACTTATATTCGATTACAGATGTCCTGGCATAATCGATTAAGCAATGCTCTTGTTAGGAAATGAGTATTAGGTAGGGATGACAAAGCAATGGATGAAAAGAGTGAACGTTGATCAGTTGAGGTGGTTGGGGCGCATGTGTTACACATATGACAAACCACCGACTAACTCGTCGAGTTATGTTTTGTGGTGTAGGAGCAGGTTGGAAGAAAGCTAGGAGCGGCTAAACCAAGACACGGCACAAATCGATGAAGTCACTGACAACTGAACTGAATCATGATCGTAGCTGTAGACTACCTGGTTAGAATCCACGAGACAATTTGTAACCGATGGTTAGAGACTTTGAATGTGACATAGTTCAAAATCGTTTGGAATGATGCAGATGCATCCATCCAGTGTCTTCTCCCTTTAAACTTTAATCTTCTGAATTTCCCATGACCTTTATCTTTCTCTTTTTAAGTTTATTTCACTGGTTTTATACTTCTCCAATCACATCTACGAAACTAGATCTCTTCGATTACTGTTTAAAATTCTATTACCTCTACTACTATGTGATTTAAATTGACAATTCGATCTATGTGTGTACTGATGTTGTAGTATGATTACTTGAACTGATGTACGTATGAGTCACATTCTGTCTTATTCTATATGATATAAACTTATATCATAATAGTGATATCAATGTGATGCGCCAAAGTTAATCAGCCAGTTACGACGTAGAACTTCGTACATTAGTACATAAGTTCAGGTTGCCAAACCGTATTAGCACAGAGATGCAACTGTCAATTCAAATCCCATAATGGTAACGATAGTAGAAGCATTAGCAGTGATGGAGAAGATTAGGGAGTGAAGATATGATTTGAAAAGTATTATTCAGTGAGATAACTCTAGAAAGCGAAAGATAGAGATGATGAGGAATTCAGTTTTCTTCCAACCTATTCCTACATCGCAAAACATAGCTCGTCGATGCAGTCGGTGGTCAGGCATACGTAACACATGTTCCAACCACCTCAACTAATATAGTTTCACTACTTCATCTACTGATCTGCCATCCCTACCTAGTATTCGTTTCGTAACAACACCATTATTTACTCGGTTGTCCTAGGATACACGAGAAATGTTTTGAAGACATCTATAATCGAATACCCATAACCTAAGAACGTCTTCATCTCCTACCGGCCATGTTTCGCATCAATATATTAAGACGGAGTGAACTGCTGCACAGAAGACTCGTCCTTTGGTTGGCAAACGGATATCTCGCCTGCGCCATAGATAACACAACTTGGTAGAAGCCAATCGAGCCTTCTGTATCCGTGCTAAGATTTCGTTACAAAGCAGGCCATCGGCGCTGATGAGACTCCCGAATTAAGTGAAGCGGTCGACACGCTCAGGACAGAGTTGGTTGGAGAAAACTGGTGGATGGCCTATGCTCGATTGGGGGTAACAGGCGTAAGTAAGTAAGTCGACACGCTCAACTACTTCACTACCTATCAGTAGTTCAAGTGCCGACGCAGGCCAATCTTGAAGCAACATTTTGTATTTCGAGTGTGAGAACCACATCCCGAACATGCTAGCATTGTTGCTCTGGCTAGTCAGAAGACTCTGCATTTCGTCAGCATCTTCATTAAATAGAACTATGTCATCAGCATATTCTAAGTCAGTAAGCAATCCTTCTGGTAGAAAGTCCACCTTTGAAAAATCTGACTAGGATAATGTTAAACTCTAAAAGGATGTCTACAACAAAGTTAAACAAGAATAGAGAGAGAGAGAGAGCAAACATCCCTGACGTATACCACTTGATGTAGACAGAGAATTCCAATGACAGTTCACCATAGTCTACCTCACTCGACCAGTGATGGTTCGGAGTCACTCACAGCAAAATCCCTAGATCAATCAAAGTTAGACATTAACACCGTTGGATATCGGCCGGCCAGTTCAGTGGTCCGATGGTTAGGAGTTTGCGTACAATACCGAAGTTCCCGGGTTCGAATCCTGCGATCTGCAACGTAGAACTTTGTACGTAAGTGTACATCAGTTCATGTTGCCATACCACATTAGCACACAGATATAATTGTCAATTTAAATCCAATAGTAGAAGAGGTAGTAAAGGTATAAGAAGTAATCCAAGAGGTTAGGATGAGAAGATAATATTCAAGAAGTATGATTCAGTGAGATAAGTTAAGAAAGTCAAAACTAGAGATGTTGAAGAATCCAGAAGATTAGGATTTGAGAGAACACAAAGAATAAATGCACCGGAGCCATTGCGAACGATTTTGAGCCATGTCATTCAAGGTCTCTAACCATCGATTATCATCATCTCGCGGACCCCAACCAGGTAGTCGACAACTACCGACATGACTCAGTCCACTCGTCAGTGACTTCAGGGATTTGTGCCATGTTTTGGTTTGGCCACCCCTAACTTTCTTCCAACCTATTCCTACACCACAAAACAAAGCTCTTCGAGGCAGTCGGTGGTTAGGCATACGTAACACATGTCCCAACCAAGGCGTGCGCGCACAATACCGAAGTTCCCGGGTTCGGATCCTGAGGCGTGCAGAAGTTGTGGATGCGCACTACCATTGATGAGTCAGTCCCATACCAGGACGAAACGGCCGTCTGTCAGTGCTTCTTCCACGTTTCTAATGGTGCTCTGTCTAACACCAATGATTGATTGATTGATTGATGATTTCAAATGTGTACAAAGAAAACTATCATCAACACAATGAAATAAATCATTCACAAAACACACAAACGAACACACAAACAACCATTTCAAATTGAAAATTCAAACTAACTTTCAGTGAATTACGTAATGCTTTACTTAATAATTTTACAATACGTTCATCAATAATTGAATGATGCGTAGTTGTCGTTGTTGTTGGTGTTGTGGATGTTCTATTCTGTTCAACATGATTAGTCCATGGTGAATGAACATCGGCAACTGTCGACGTCGGCGGCGACGACAAAGAATGAAATTGATGCATGAAATGTGCCGACAATAAATACCAACCAATCATTGTAATTAAATGTAACCAATATAATAAATTTTTTAATTGTTCATTAGAATTTAATTTTTTAATACAATGAATTAAATCATGATAAATAAGATGGGATAATAATGTATAACGATGTGATTGATATTTATACGATGGCAGTCTGTGGTTAAAAAAAGAAAGGGGGAAAATCAATAAATAGACGGGATTAGATTATGAGTGATGTTTATGCATGCATGTATATATATATATATATATATATATATATATATATATATATATATATATATATATTACAGGGGTTGTGAAGATTGTTAAGTTACATATTTTTGAAACCATGTATCGATGAATGATGACACTGACAAACAGCCGTTTCGTCCTGGTATGGGACTCATCAGTGGCAATGTGCATCCACGACTCCTGCACCCCGCAGGATTCAAACCCAGGACCTTCGGTATTGTGGGCGAACGCTGAGGAGTCCCATACCAGGACTATATATATATATATATATATAAACATAGTTATGTAATATTATGATAATGATGACAGTAGAAATCGATAAGATTCTGGTAAGAGTTCGTTATTGCACACACACTCTCGCTGTCTATGTGATCTTAGATAGTGTTAGGATATTCATCTAATATCCTAAGAGAATTATTGGTCAATTCCTATTGGTTAATTCCTACTGGTCAATTTTATGGTATCAATGTCCCGTGCTCCAATGTTGTTTCTTATTGGTCGTCTTAACTGTCAATGTCACAGATATCGATGCTGTTTCTTATTCGACCAAAATGTATAAATACGCATTATCTGTAACGTTTTATGACCACTACCAGGACCAGGACCCGGATCCCTAGTCCGGGATCCTGATTCTCTTCTGGATTTGGACCTCGTACTTTCTGGATGCTTGTGGAATACAGATTCTACTTCATATCATGTCTTCTTATCTTTTATTCAATATGGGAGTTGGGATAATCGGATTTGAGTAGCATGTCGTGTCACCGGATCCTCGATCCTCGCTCTCGTTTACCGACTAGGTAAACTCGTTATAGTTCAAGCATATCAAGTTGACGTGTTTACGTGCAGGCGTAACAGATAGCCATGTGTATAATAGTCAAGGTCATCATCAATGACAATACGAGTAGTTGATCAGTCAGCAACGAACACAGGACTTAGTATGTAGGTACATTTAGAGGGTAGGATTTGGTTTTGACCCTATTGGGGGTCTCGTGTGGTGTTATGGGTATGAGGGGTGGATGTCAGTTCCCGGCTGCCCACACCATGGAAGATTGGTTCTTGAGGAAAATGAAAAGGAAGGTAGATTAGTGTTGGTCTTAGAGACTTGGCAGCGTGACCGCAGAGCCCAAGGGACAACTGCTTGACACCGGTCACGCACGGCCTTTTGATGAAAGGATTTTTGAGGATTAGCTCCGCTGTTGAAAGTCCTTAGTGGGCACCCTTACCGACGGAGACGGAAATCCGTGAGGTAGGGTGAGGTGTGACATTTGTAGGGTCGACCTTCTCTAACCCTTCCTTGCTTGTCAGAAGACAGCATCTCTGCAGATGCCGGTTATCCAAGGGAAACACCTTACTGCTGTCACACCCCTCTGCAGTCAGCAGTACGACTTCACCCTCAGACCTTGAGTAGCTGCTTTTAATCTCATCGTTCTCCTATCGACGTGCCTGACATGGTAGAACCTTCAGGAACATAAGTGCCAGCCAATATAGCTCATTTGGGTCATCACGATAGGCAAGCCTGACCACCACGTCAAGGTATCAGCTTCGGTCGGGATGTACGTACACTAGTCCAACTAGCCATACAAAATTACCATGGAGAGGTGGCATTGTCTAATTCAATCCCATAGTGGTAGAGGTCGTAACAGTAATGAAGAAGATTAGAGATCAAGGATATGATTGTAGAAGTATATCCAAGTGAAATTAATTTAAAAACAGAATGATAGAGGTTATGACGAATTCAGAAGATTAGAATTTCAGATAACACAAAGAATAGATGTATCTGCGTCATTGCAAACGATTTTGAGGCATGTCATTCAGGGTCTCTAACCATTGGTGACTATCGTCTCGCGGACCCTAATAAAGTAGCCTATATCTACCAACATGACTCAGTCCACTTGTCAGTGATTTCATGCATTTCTGCCATGTTTTGGTTTGGCCACATCTACCTTTTCTTCCAACCTACTCCTACACCACAAAACATCGGTCGTCGAGGCAGTCGGTAGTTGGGCATTCTCAAAACATGTCCCAACCACCTCAACTGATGAAGTTTCAATACTTCATCTACTGATCTGCCATCCTTATCTAATACCCTAGTACTCAATGGACTAGCGATTTAATAGTGAAGGGATTCTATACTTAATCACACTAAGTGATAGATTTGAACTTTGCATTCAACTCCCCAATTCACAGTTTAAGCAATTGAGTGATATCACTCTACCTTCCTTTTAATAAACTATTTTATACATCTTTTTTTTGCAAATTGTAAATAAATTCAAACAGTAGGATAGTGAGAATTTCATTAATTGTTTTTGTAAATAGTATGCAAACTTTTCTATAAAATAACAATGAATTCTCATTATATTCGATCGGACTTTCTACAGTCCATAAATATGAAACAGGCACACATACACACACACACACAAGTCCTACTGTTGTCTTTAATGATATTTGAACAATGTGACAATACCCACCTTACCAGGATATTCAGTATCACAAGCGTACACTCAACTTCTACACCAGTGAGTTGACGTCAAACGGGTTTGATTCCTCCTACTCGCAAGATTGTGAATACGCACTACTGATGAGTCCCACATACTAGGATGAAACAGCCGTTTAATGCTTCCTGATTTTTATACTGGTCCAACATTGATCAATTCATGATTTCCGAGAAAACCCACCATTCTATACAACTCTTATGAAGTAGTGAAACTACATCAATTGAGGTGGTTGTGACATGTGTTACGTATGCTTGACCACCGACTGCCTCAACGAGCTATGTTTTGTGGTGTAGGAGTAGGTTGGAAGAAAGCTAGGGGCGGTCAAACCAAAACATGGCACAAATCCATGAAGTCAGTGACAACTGGACTTAGTCATGTTGGTAGATGTCGACTACCTGGATTGGGTTGCATCGGTACCTGAACTAGTGATAGGGAGTAAAGTAGTCAGGCGTGTTGACCAATTCACTTATTTTGGGAGTCTCATCAGTGCAGTTGGCCTAGTTTGTGATGAAATCTCAGCTCGGATACAGAAGGCTCGATTGGCTTTTGCCAACCTGCGTCACCTGTGATGCAGGCAAGATATCCGTTTGCTAACCAAAGGACGAGTGTACTACTACGCAGCAGTTCGCTTGGTCCTACTATATGATTGCAAAACATGGCCGATGAAAGAGGGTTACTGGTATTCGATCAAAGAGGTCTTCGGAGCATTGCTCATGTTGGGGTCTGCATGACGAAAGTCACCAATGGTTAGAGACTTTGAATGACATGGCTCAAAAACGTTTGCAATGACGCGCGTGAATCCACTGTTTGTGTTCTCTCTAATTCTAACCGAGTAAGCAATGATGTTGTTAGGAAAAGAGTACTAAGTAAGGATGGCAGATTGACAGACGAAGCGATGAATGTTCACCAGTTAAAATGGTCGGGTATACGTAACATATTTTCCAACTACCGACTGCTTCAACGAACTATGTTCATGTGGCGGCCAAACCAAAACATGGCACAAATTCATGAAATCACTGACAAGTGGACTTAGTCATGTTGGTAGATGTAGGCTACCTGGTTGGGGTCCGCGAGACGATAGTCACCGATAGTTAGAGACCCTGAATGATGTCATGGCTCAAAACCGTTTGCAATGGCACAGGTGCATTTACTCTTTGTGTTCTCTCAAATTCTAACCCTCTGGATTCCTCATCATCTCCATCTTTCTCCTTCTAAATTTATCTCACTGAATTATACTTCTCGAATCATATATTCGCTCCCTAATCTTCTCCATTACTGCTAATACTTCTACTATCGCTACTACTATGGGATTTGAATTGACAGTTGCGTCTGTGTGCTGATGCGGTATGGCAACCTGAACTTAGGTACTCATGTACGAAGTTCTACTGTAGTGCCTCCACATTTAATATTCCAGTTCGCTTACATTTAATTTGGTTAAGCCCTTTTCGATTAACTTATTTAACCAAGCCATTTGTATTGTGAGCAACAATTTATATGTACCATTCGTTCTTATTATTTTCTGGTTAGTATGATGAGCTCACATGACCTTGTCAATCATTCGTCGCTTTTATTCATGTGTGCCCATTTGGCTTGTCACATGTCTATCTTATTTTTGTCTGACTATATATTCTTAGTCACGCTCTATTTCTTGGAGTTGGCTCTTAGCCATCTCCAATGTACTTCACCCATTCGTTCGCATTGTAATCCTAGGAGTTGTTGGCTCATTAGCCTTCTCCAATTCACGTCGTTTCGTACGCTTTGTTCGCTGCCTTTCAACTTCGCTTTGTGGTGTGTCCAAAAATAAACGTATTCATTACTTCGAATTCATCTTCTGATTTATAAGAACCGTCAGGCTCTATTTGGCAACGATTGTCTAGACGAGTTAATTACCAAAGCATAAGAACACGCAGATATTTAGCCACCACACTACTCCGGTCCCAAGCCTGCGGATAAAGGAGGAGGTTCGGGTTAGCGACCCCATCATCCCCGCAGAAAACCGACACTCTCACATTTGAAAAAAAACACACTACAACAACAACGCACCAATCAACACAATCCTTATACAAGACAAAAACTTATTTAATCTTACTTACCTTAAATTGATCGAATTGCTTTTCGTATCCAAATGATTTTGTTTTATTATTGCAGTCTCATAACTACTAATACTATACGATAATAATTCATGATGTATCATTGTGAATAGTTTACAAATACGATAAATTGTTGCGGCAATAAATTGATACAAACTACCATGTTCCATACTCAATGATGAAGATGATGTGATGTACTTATTCAATGCAGTGTCAATATTCATGCATAATTTCTATGGAGGGTGGGGGATGGGAGAAACAAGTAAAATTATGTAAATGGTAAGACGGAAAAAATTAAACAAGCCAAATAGTGTGGTAAAAAACAAACAAAACTTGTCAATGTTCACAAAATGATTTCAATAAAAAAATTGAACAATATTTAAAATCCGATAATGAAATATCGTTGCGAAAAAAATAGTGTGCTGATTAGTGATGACTAACTTCGTGAGGACTTAGCAGATGACTTGGCTATCCTATCGCACACGCAACAACAAATGCAAGAGAAGAAGACCAGTGTAGCAGCCAGCCTCTGCAGCAGCAGTAGGTCTCAACATACATAAAGGAAAAAGCAAACTTCTTCGATGCAACACAACATACACCAATCAAATCACTCTTCAAGGAGATGCCTTGGAGGACATTAACACCTTTACATATCTGGACAGCATCATCGACAATCAATGTGGATCCGATGCAGATGTGAGGGCGCGGATTGGCAAAGCAAGGGCTGCATTTCTACAACTGAACAACATCTGAAATTTAGAACAACTGTTAACAAACACCAAAGTCAGAATTTTCAATATACATGTCAAGATAGTTCTACTGTATGGAGCGGAAACATGGAGAACTACCAAAGCCATCATTCAGAAGATACAAGTGTTTATTAACAGTTGTCTATGTAAAATACTTCGGATTCGTTGGCCGGACACCATCAGCAACAACGAACTGTGGGAGAGAACAAGTCAGATCCCAGTGGAGGAGGAAATCAGGAAGAAGTGGTGGAAGTGGATAGGACACACAATAAGAAAAGCACCTAACTGGATCACGAGACAAGCCCTTACATGGAACTCTCAAGGCAAAAGGAAAAGAGGAAGGCCAAAGAACACACTACGCCGAGAAATAGGGAAAGATATGAGAGGAATGAACAAACATTGGACAGAATTGGAAAAGGAAGTCCAGGACAGAGTTGGTTGGAGAAAACTGGTGGGCGACCTATGCTCCATTGGGGGTAACAGGCGTAAGTAAGTAACTTCGTGAGGAAGAACTCAGAGTTTCAATGAGAAGTCATGACCAGTGGAGTTCAGCTGTGTCAGGTGTGAGGCAGTTAACTAACGAAGACAATATCAGTGAGGGTACGCAATAACTTGGACTGCTTAAAGTTAGATATTAACAGCGTTGGATGCTGGCTCAGTCGTTCAGCGTTCACAAGCGAGACCGACGGTCTTGAGTTCGATTCCGCGTAGGTGGTTGTGTATGTGCACTGCTGAAGAGTCTAATACTAGGATAAAACGGCCGTCCAGTGCTTTCAGGTTTCTAATGACGGTCTAACAATGGTCGATTCATGATTTCACTGAAACTTAACAATCTTCATAACTCTATAATGACGATTATCTATTTTCATTCAAAGAGGTAACAGGCACAAACAGTTGATCTCCCGTGTGAGAGAAACAGGTTTAACTATGGACAGGATAATTTTGAGTGCTATTAGAAGTCTGAGACAGATTGTTACACTAAATAGCTAACTACACTGTGGATGACTATTTCTAATTGGGAGAAATGAAAAGGAAACTAGGTAAGTGATGATCTGAATGACGATCTAAGTTCAGTTATACTGCCTTTTTATAAGATGTTTTTGATGTGTTAGCTCCGTATCTCAGAAGGAATTACCATTAGTGTCAGAAATCCATACGGTAGAATGATTGTAACCCTATCTAATCCTTTCCTTCCTTTGTGAAGAGGTAGTAGTAGTGCTCTATATGCTGGTTGTCTGAGTGAAATACCTTATATGCGACACACCCCTTGTGGTGCGAGCTACTTATAAGTAGTATATGACATGAGTGTCAACGTAATGTCTGACAGCAGAAGATGGAGGAAGATCAAGAAAGGGAGGAAGAGTGGGAACACAATGGAATTTGTATGAAATAGCATGAATAGTGACAATGGATTGATGTTTTTTTCGCAACAGGAACAGTCCAGTTCGATATGATGAACTGATATTTTGCACATAAACGATTTACGATATGGTTTTCCTATTTTACTGAGTAACTCTGTAATTTTCTGTAAATGCAATTCGTTTGCCCTCACCTGTGTTCTCCTTCACTACAGTAGTACTCTATATGCTGCCTGTCTGAGAGAAACACTTGATATATGTCACACCTCTGTCTACACAATCAGCAGTGCTGCTTGTAAGGAACCTCTCTTTTTGTAGCTACAGCAAAACTGAGACGAACATGTAGATATATTAGCATTATGAAAAGAAAATCAGATTTCGAAAAGATGTTAGTGCCTCCAAATTCCCTGATATGAGGAAGAGTGAAAAGAGTTCGCCCTCCATCTCCAAATATTCACATATAGCCACTACCACAGCAGTTCTATCTACTACCTTCTCATGTTAAAGGTGTTGTTTACAAAAGTAAGGAAATAAAAAGCAAATGTCCGGTCAATGCCTTAACCTTCTTGGTGGATACCAAGAATCCGCCTAAGGGAATTAGGAAACCCTCCTTCCAAACCGATGATGCACATCAGCTCCTAGATCCCAATGGAATAAATGACGTATAAACTTATTACTGGTCACCGGCTACTATGAGACTGCATTTTCTAACATCGATCCATTGCCTTGTGGATTAGAGCTGTAAGTGGAAAGCTCGAAGAGTGGCCTCCTGGGAAAACCAACTGTTCCGGATTGCGCACTGTTGGGGACATTAGATACCCAGAACTCACTTAATAAAAGTCCTAATTTCCAATTTTATGTTTTCGAGCATGGGCTGATCACTTGACCTGGAGGTCACATTTCTCACCCGGAAAATCCTTGGCTGTCATTGGTTGATGTATTATTTTAGTACGCTATTCTTGTAGCTCTCCCAAAAAAAGTTTCTATCACTCTATAAATAAGCTTGATTTGTGTGCTTGTCAACCTCATATTTTCTGACTGCTTGTAGAATACAGTTCCTACGCCATATCAAGACTCCTTCCTCTACTTGGTGGGGTATTGGGACGCTCGGATTAGAGAAGCCTATCGTATAACTGGATCATTTGTCTTTCGCTCTCGTTTACCGACTAAGGTGAACTCGTAATAGTTTCAAGCATTTCAATTGACGAGCGTAGCACGCACCCAGACAATATTTTAGCTCACTGTTAGGATATTCATCCAATATCCTAAGAGAATTATTGGTCAATTCCTATTAGTTAATTCCTACTGGTCAATTTTATTGTCATCCTAGGTATCAATGTCAGTTGCTCCAATGTTATTTCTTAATGTTTGTCCTAACTGTCAATCTCACAGACTTTGATGTTGTTTCCTATTCGACCAAAATGTATAAATACGCATTATCTGTAACGTTTTATGACTAGGACCCGGTCCCGGATCCCTAGTCCGGGATCATGATTCTCTTCTGGATTCGGACCTCGTACTTTATGGATGCTTGTTGAATACAAGTTCTACTTCTTATCATATCTTGTCTTCTTATTTTCACTCAATATAGGGGTTGGGATAATCGGATTTGAGTAGCATGTCGTGTCGCCGGATCCTCGATCCTCGCTCTCGTTTTCCCACTAGGTAAACTCGTAATAGTTCAAGTATATCAAGCTGACGTGTTTACGTGCAGGCGTAACACTCACTCACAAATTTAATGATCTATGTGGTACAAATGTAATTCCGCTTGGAGCCCTTCTAGTGTTACTGCCACTCTTAAGCCCGTAGAAAAACTAGCTGAACAAAAACGCTAACCAGAAAAACGATTCGCTGGTCGGCGACCTATGCCCCTTCATAAGGGGTAACAGGCGTAATTAAAAGTAATGTAACTGGTGCCCGTTTGTACCCATTTTCACGTATTTGAATAAATAAATCGTCTTAATTTACACTCCTCAAGCAAATTATTTCTAACATCATGAAGGGGAATTCATGCTGCCTGTGTGCGACTCGGACTCGAATTCGAGTTGCTTAGTCTCTTCATTGTAAGATTTTACACCACAATTGTCCCAGTTCGACTCATCACTGATCTCTTACACGAATTTGAATATATATCACATTGTGGTGTACTTGATAATTGAAAGGAATCAATTGATTGAGGAGAGTAAAACAAACAAACTAACTAACTAACTAACGCTTACTTTATTCGGTAAATCCCATGGAGAAATGCTTTGAAACTCATCACTGACCGCAGTTTTAGGCAATAAAGATGGAAGCAATTCTTGTAGATAAATCTTGTTTTTTTTTAGAAAAAAAACACAAAAAAGATTCATGAGAAATAAGTAGTATATAACAACTACTAATGAATGAAATCATTTGTACAATTGAGTGTAAGAAGTCATACTCTAAATGTGAGGATTATTAATAACAATAATGATAATAATAATACTGTGGTGCGCGCTACTTATAAGTAGTATATGACGTGAGTGTCAACGTAATGTCTGGCAGCAGAAGATGGAGGGGAAGATCAAGAGAAAGGAAGAAGAGTGGGAACACAATATGGAATTTGTATGAAACGCATGAATAGTGAAAGATCAGACAATGGATTGATGAATTGGATTGAAGATTTGCAAATTAACCGTTTACGATATTATGGTTTTCCTATTTTACTGAGTAACTCTGTAATTTTCGTTAAATACTACAATTCGGTTGCCCCTCACCTGTGTTCTCCTTCACTATACTACTACTAGAGGTTGACCAAACAAACCAAATTGAGTGAAGATGAGGTTTGAAACCTATGATTAAATAGTTGAAAATCGAACGCTCTAACTATTAGGTCTATACTCCATTCTACAGAATAATTGTAACTGTGAAAAACAAAAGATCATTGGTCTGTTAAATTTTAAACTAACACGAGTAATCTATCTTAACATTTAGAAAAAGTGTACAATGTGCTCACACTAGTGATGATTAGCTTGGTGAGGAAAATTTCTCTGAGTTCTAGTGAGAAGACGTGATCAGTGAAGTTCAAACCATGTCGGTTGTAGACAGTTACTACAGAAGACAAGTGGGTGAGATTGTGCGAAATCCCTAGATTGATCCGAGTTAGACAATAATACCATTGAATGCTGTTGGCTCAGTTGTCCAGACGTTAGGTGTTCGCGCAACAGACTGAAGGTTCGGGGGTTCAAATCCTACGAGTAGCAGAAGTCGTGGATTCATACAACTACAAATGAGTCCCATACCAGGACGAAACGGCTGATTAATGCTTCCAGGTTTCTAACAAGGGGTATAACAATGATTGGTTTATGATTTCAGTCAGATATGAAATGCAGATATTTTCAGATGATTCGTTCTATTCTAAACGAAAATATCCAAGATAAAATAAAACAGAATTGTATAATTTTTGATGTGATATTTCTGTCGGTAATCAGAAAACTTCGAGTGGTATAAATGAATGAGGACAACTGAGCTTCTGATGTATTCTATAAAAAACCATTATATTAGGCTGAAACAATGACTCTGGTTGTATGAGCATATTTTATAAATATCATCCTAGCGACTTTCAACAGTCAGACAGATACAACGTAGAACTTCGTATGTATGTGCGCCGGTTCAAGTTGCCATAGCACATTAAAACACAGATGTAATTGTTAATTCAAACTCCATAACAGTAGAGGTAGTAGAAGTATTAGAAGTAATCGGAAATTTTAGTGTTTGAGGATATTATTCAAGAAGTATAATTCAGTGAGATAAATTTAGGAAGAGAAAGATAGAGGTGATGAGGAATTCAGGATGTTAAGATTTGAGAGAACACAACGAGTGGATACCCCTGCACCATTGTTAACGAGTATGAGCCATGTCATTCATCGGTTACTATCATCTCGCGGACCCCAACCAGGTAGTCAACATCTGCCAACATGACTCAGTCCATTTGTCAGTGACTTCATGGATTTCTGCCATGTTTTGGTTTGGCCACCCCTAGCTTTCTTCCAACCTACTCCTCATACACCACAAAACATAGCTCGTAGAGGCAGTCAGTGGTTAGGCATACGCAGCACATGTCCCAACCACCTCAACTGATGAAGTTTCATTACTTCATCTATTGATCTGCCATTCTTACCTACCACCCGTTTCCTAACAACAGCGTTGTTCACTCGGTTATTCCAGGATATACAAGCAATGCTTCGAAGACACCTATGATCGAATACCAGTAACCTAGAAATATTTTCTATTCCGACTGGTCCTGTTTCGCAGCCATAAAGTTGGACAGAGCAAACTGCTACGCAATACACTCGTCCTTTAGTCAGCAAACGGATATCTGTCCCACGCCATAAGTGAGGCTAGCTGATAAGAGCCAGTGGAGCCTTCTGTATCCGTGCTGAGATTTCGTCAGTCACCAGGCTATCAGCACTGATGAGACTCTCGAGATAAGTGAAGCGGTCGACCACGTCAATGTAACAGCTTCGGTCGGGAGCGACTTCCACATTACTTAGTTTTGCTGAGATTGGTTGGAAAACAGCGAAGATATAGTTAGTTTATGATATGGCATTGTAGTATGAAAAACATGCATCAAAACTGGCCTCGCTTGATTTCTTACAGCTTTCTAGCTAAGGTCCTATACATATGATCCAACTTAATTATTTGAAACATTTTCACATATTACTCAAAACAAAAATCAGTAGTGTTTCGGTTGTAGTAATATTCTTTGAGACTTTTTTTCGTAAAAATTGCAATAAACTTGTCTACTTGAAGTAACTTTTTATCGGTTGTAATCACTCAAATGAACTGTATTTCTTATTACGTAATAACCTTATTCATTCTTTTTTTCTGAATTTAAAATCATGCCATTTAGATCAATGTCTTGTTTAAAATCGTAAGATTAGAACTCATCAAATCTGATGAAGAGTTTTTCTAAAATCTAATTTATTTTGAGCAATAAAATCAATTCACCTATTCACAGGAAAAAAGGAAATAGAACATCAGCTTACGAAATAGCCTAAAGTACCAGTTGACAGTAGGGAAGTCTGCTTGCTGACTCACAGGAAATCGCTACTCATCACCTTCATCATCTGACAGAAGTGTTCCTACAAAACTAAGGCGGAAGGCTTACATTTAAGGCTTAAACTGAATACATGAATACAAACGTCCTAGTTGAAAGTGTCATTGAGCTCTCTGATTCTGAGTAAACGAATAGTTTAGAAAACCTAATTTTAATAACCGATAAATATGAGACGGCATCTATGGGGTTGTTCAACTAATATGAAGATGACAAGTTTAGGGAGTAAACCCACATGAAAACTAATTTCTTGGAGTTGAGCTCTCAATTAGTACTCCAGTCCGTATAATGATTATGAACATTCGTATGACATGAGAAATACATTTTGTTTTAAAAGGTAGCTGTTACCATAACGTGGTGGTCAGGCTTGCCTACCATGATAACCCGACCGAGCTATATTGGAATATATGTTCCTGTAGGTTCTACCATGCCAGACGGGTCGATTGGAGAATGATGAGACTAAAAACAGCTACTCATGGTCTGAGGGCAAAGTCATACTGCTGACTGTAGAGGAGTGTGACGGTATTAAGGCGTTTCCCTCCGACAAATAGCATCTGAAGTGATGCTGCCTTCTCTTAAGGAATGAAGGGGTTAGAAGAGGTCGACCCTAAAAATGTCGCACCTCGACTTACACCCCGAATTTCCATTTTTGGCAGTAAGGTCACCTGAAGAGTGGAGTTGACACTTTACAAACTTCCTATAAAAAGGTTGTGCGTGTTAGACATCAAGCAGTTGTCTCTTGGGTTGCTCAGACCGAAGCTATCCCGATTTCCTTTTCAAGTTCCTCAAAAAGCACCTTTCCACAGTATGGGCAGCCGGGAAGTGACGTTCACCCTCATACCTGAAACAGCGCACGAGACTAAATTAATTACGAAACAATAGTCATAAGTTCATCAATATACCGAAACTCAGTAGCTAAGTGGATAACGTGATGACGTTTGAAGCAAATGTTACTGGGTCCGACATCAGATCACGAGTCGCAAATCGGACGAAACGTAAGAGTCTTGGGATCCACGAGACGATAGTAACCGATGGTTAGAGACTTTGAACGACATGAATCAAGATCGTTTGCGATGGCACAAGTGCATCCACTCTTTTTGTTGTCTCATATTCTAAGTTTCTGGATTAATCGTCACCTTTATATTTCTCTTTTTAAGTTTATTTCACTAGATTCTACTTTTTGAATAATTTCTTCGAAACCTAATCTTGAGATGGTGGAGAAAACTTGTAGCTCAGGTGGATGATTGTGGTGGTGTTTCGTTCTCTGAGCTGGTTGTTTTGGTTGTGGAGCTTTCATTGTTCTTCTGAACAAAATCATCAGCACAAACCTCAGATAGAAGTGAAGCATTTGAATTTCTCCACGTTTGATAAATTGGGTCAATGTCGATGTGTTTGTTGACTGCTGATTGGCCTGAGTGCCAAGCTTCTAAAAATTCTCTATTGTTCTTTGTCCTCCCCCTACCCAGTATTTCCACATTGTTCCAATCAAATGTGTGTCCATAATTGTCGGTATGTATTGATATAAGCGAAGCGTTGTCGTGGCGTTTGACTGCTAATTGATGTTCACGTAAACGGAGCTGAAGTGGTCGTCCACTTTGTCCTATGTAGGGTTTTTCACAGTTTGAGCAATTTATTTTGTAGATGATATTTGGTTTTTCTTCCTTTGTCATTTTGTGCTGATGATGTTGTTCAGAAGAACAATGAAAGCTCCACAACCAAAACAACCAGCTCAGAAAACGAAACACCAACACAAAAAACCTAATCTTCTCTGTTACCGGTAATACTTCTATTATCTCAACTACTATGGGATTTGAAGTGACAATTGCATCTCTGTATGCTAATGTGATATGGCAACATGAACTGATGTACGTGCATACGTACGAAGTTCTACGTTGTAACTGATTGACTGACATATTCTATCTACTCTATATAAACATCATAAGAGTTCATATTTTGGCCTTTTTAATGATATTCAAGATTGGTATCTTTGAGAGGATGCTTCAATATAATTTGTATTGTGTAACAGTGTAATCACGCTTAGTCATGTTATATTCTAGTTACAATTCGTCAGTTGAATATACTTGTTCTCCTCATTGTACTGTGATATTTACACAATGAATTTTTAAATTCAATTATTAAATAAATCTATTGTTTGAAATCTCAACAAAAATTTCCCGCGAAGTTTAAAAACAAACAAAATAACAATTTTGTAATTTACCTTAGTTGAAGTGACATGTCGAGGAAATTTAGCCAACATACCCGGTACATTAGGTTCAGCATTGAATACAAGTAATAAAACAGTTAGATAAGCTGGATCTTCTTTAATTGGTTCCGGGCCATTTAACCATGAATGTGTTCTTAGTAGACTGGATAAACACATTTCCACAAAGATTGGATGATTTTTGCCAACAGAAGCAGCACATCTATAGGAAGAAGTGTTACAAGGGAAAAACACAAAAAATGATGAAAAGTTAAGCCAATTCTTTCATGTTGACATGTGTGTGAAAATGGTTGATTCAGGATTGGATTGCCTCAGCACAGAAACTAGTGGTAAAGAGTGATTGTGTGTGTGTTGACTGCTTCATTTATCTTCGGGGAGACTTATCAGTGCTGAGATAAAGTAGGTGAGATATCCGTTCGCCAAACAAAGGACGAGTCTATGGCGCAGCAGTTCGCTCTGTGAAATATAGTCCCTAAGAATAGAGGCTACGCTTAGGTCACTAGTATTCAGTCATCGATGAATTGCCCGTTTATCGAGTAAGCAACTCTGTTGTTAGGAAACGAGTACTAGGTAAGGATGGTCAGTGAGAATAGAAGATATTGGTCGGTTATTGGTTTTCGATCATAGGTGTCTTCGAAGCATTGCTCGTATATCCTGGGACACTCGAGTGAGCAACGCTGTTATTAGGAATCGGGTGCTAGGTAACAATGGCAGACCAATAGATGAAGTAATGAAACTTCATCAGTTGAGGTGGTTGGGACATGTGTTGCGTATGCCTAACCACCGACTGCCTCGACGAGCTCTGTTTTATAGTGTAGGAGTAGGTTTGAAGAAAGTTAGGGGCGGCCAAACGAAAACATGGCACAAATCCATCAAATCATTGACAAGTGGACTGAGTCATGTCGGTAGTTGTTGACTACCTGGTTGAGGTCCGTGAGATGATAATAATCGATGGTGGTTAGAGACCCTGAATGACATGGCTCAAAATCGTTCGCAATGGCGCCGGTGCATTTATTCTTTGTGTTCTCTCAAATCCTAATCTTCTGAATTCTTCAACCCCTCTAGTTTTGACTTCCTAAACTTTCCTCGCTGAATCATACTTCTTGAATAATATCTTCTAATCCTAACCTCTCCGATTACTTCTAATACCTTTACTACCTCTTCTACTACTATTGGATTTGAATTGACAATTACATCTCTGTGCTGATGTGGTATGGCAACATGAACTGATGTACTTACATACGAAGTTCTACGTTGCATCTGACTGACTGACTGACTAGGTAAGGATGGCAGGTCAACTGATGAAGTAGTGAAACCCCATGAATTGAGGTGGTTGGGACATATGTTATATTTCACCAACCATCCATCTCACCTGAATAAGCGATGTTGTCTGATGTAGAGTTAGGGTGGAAGAAAGGTAGGTGCGACCGAACCGCAACATGGCACAAATCCATAAAGTCATTGACAACTGAACTGAGCCATGTCAGTAGCTGTAGACTACTTGGTTGGAATTCACAGGACAATACTAACCAATAATAAGTGACTTCGGATGACATGGATCGGAATCGTTTGCAATGGAACAGATGCATCCTTTCTTTGTCTTCTCCTTCATAGTCCAATCTTCTGAATTCCGCATAACTTTTATATTTTTCGTTTCAAATTTATTTCATTGAATTATTCTTCTTGAATAACATCTTCGAATTGTAATCTTTTCAATTACCACTAATACTTCTCCTACCTCTACTTTACTCTGAGATTTGAGTTGGCGATTGCGTCGCTGCGTGTGCTAATATGGTATGGCAACTTGAACTGATGTACGTACGTACATACGTACGAAGTTCTACGTTTTTGCTGACTGACTGACTGACTGTTTAACTTAGCTCTTACTCACAACTTATTCCTATCACTATCAACAATGTATGTTAAAGTAGGAAACTACTGAACATCAGTAACATACTTTTGAATCAGGGAACTAGTGACATTTCGGTGTAGTGTGAAGTTCAAAACTCGTTCACCAGGGTGTCAGGTAGACCTGTGTGTGGTCGCACAACGCGATTGAGCTGAATTGTCCACGTTGTAGTGTTAACACGTGGGCAGTCTCCTTGGTTCTCCTGAAAACCAATGTAAAGCTACTCTTGCCAATTGAGAGTGAATTTATACAATAATATATTATGTGCAGTCAGTCAGTCAATTGCAACGTAGAACTTCATATGTATGTACATCAGTTCAGGTTGCCATACCACAATATTAGCACAGAGACGCAAATGTCAAATCAAATCTCATAGTGATAAAGATAGTAGAGGTATTAATGGTAATGAAGAAGATTTGGGTTTGAAGATATTATCCAAGAAGTATAATTCAGTAAGATAAGGTTAGAAAGACAAAGGTAGATGTGCTGACGTATCTAGAAGATTAGCATTTGAGAGAGCTCAAAGAATGGATGCACTTGCGCCATTACAAACGATTTTGAGCCATGTCATTCAGGGTATCTAACCATCGGTGACTTTCGTCTCTCAGACACCAACCAGGTAGTCTACATCTACCAACATGACTCAGCCCACTTGTCAGTGACTTCATGGATTTTTGCCATGTTTTGGTCTGGCCGCCTCTAGCTTTATTCCAACTTACTCCTACACCACAACACATAGCTCGTCGAGGCAGTCGGTGGTTAGGCTTAGGTAACACATGCCCCAACCACCTCAACTGATGAAGTTTCACTACTACATCTATATCATGTGCATTTCGAACCTACAGCTTACAAGTTGAAAGTCAAATGCACTCATCATTATCAAGTCACAGGCTAAAGTTGACATAACTGGCATACAACAACTGGCATGAAAAATATGTGATATAAATTAATCTTGACGGTGGACCTGAATATCACTACTATAAAGATATGGATTTGCAAAGGACAGCATTTCCACAATCGCAAAAACATCTGGTACTTCCAGACAACTGATAATTAACACCAAAGTCCAAATTTTCAATTCAATCTATAAGATAGTTCTATGGTATGATGCAAAAACTTTGCGAAACATGAAAGCTATCATCATTCACAAGATGCAAGTGTTTATTAACTGTTATTTACGCAGGTGACTACAAATCTGTTGGCCAGACACCATCAGCAGCAACCTGTAGTGGGAGAGAATAAGGCAAATTCCATCTGCTCGAAGGAATTAGGAAAAGCCACTGGAGATCGATGGGACACACACAATGAGGAAATCACCCACCTGTGTCACAAGGTTAAGCCCTAACTCGGAATCCTCAAGTCCAGAGGAGAAAAGAAAGACCAAAGAACACATTAAGCCGACAAAATGTAGACAGACATGAGAAGAATCAACGAAAATTGGACAAAACTAGAAAGAAAGACCCAGAACAAAGTAAGGTTAAAGAATACTGGTCGGTGGCCTAAGCTCGAATAGGAGTAACAGGAGTAAGTGAGTAATTATCTTGTAGTGTTTAAGCACTACCTACGACATTATACTAAAACCAATCAATGATAATGATACAGTGTGAGCCAATCAGAAAATTGTTTGACAATCATCAAAAAGTATCCTATAGAACGAATAAATATCATTGGTCAGTTTTTGGGGCGTCAACATGTATATTACGTTCAGAGAAACCGTGTTGCTTGCTAGTATTTTCAGATATGTCAACTTTAGCCTGTGACTTGATGATGATGATGAATGCATTTGACTTCCAACCTGTAAGCTGTAGGTTCGAACTCTCAATTGACAAGAGTAGCTTTACATTGGTTTTCAGGACGACCAAGTAGACTGCCCACGTGTTGACACTACAACGTGGACAGTTGGCCTTGATCGCGTGGTGCAACCTCACACAGAAGTACTTGACACCCTGGTGAACCAGTTCGAACTTTACACTATATAACTGTTATGCTCGTCAACTGATATGATTGAAATTATTACGAGTTCATCTTACTCGATACACGAGAGCGAAAATAAAGCATTCAGTGACATGATAGGCTACTCCAATCCGATCGTCCAAAGGCCCCACTAATTAGAGGAAGAAAACTCGACATGGCGTAGAAATTGTATTCTACAAGCATCCAGAAAATATGAGGTCGACAAGCACATAAATCGAGTTTATTTATACATCATAGAAACGTCTTTGGGTGAGACACAAAAACAGCGTACTAACGTAACACATCAACCAATGACAGCCAAGGATTTTCCGAGTGGGAAAATGTAATCTCAAGGTCAACTGATCAGCCCATGTGCGAAAGCATAAAATCCAAAATTAGGACCTTAATCAAATGAGTTCTGGGGATCTAACGTTCCGAACAATAACAAATAACTCTCTTATCCTTAAACTAGCTACAAAATGAGAAAAGAAGAATCAGTCGACTTTTCATAAACACAAAATACATAAGAAAATTTCGCTTACCTCCATAAATTATCTCTGTCTTCTGGATATCGTCGTAGATTTTGTAACAGGCCATCCAGTAGACTAATTAAACATGGAGCGGATGCTAAACGACACTGGGATAATAAATGATGCAGTCTACGTCGAATACGACCAGATCCTTCAGCCAAAGCGGATGTAATAATGGCGACTTGTTCACTTTTTACCGGAACCTAATGGCAAATGTAAATTAAGAATAATAATCATAATAATGTTGTGATATTCATCCAATATCCTAAGAGAATTATTATTGGTCAATTCCTATTGGTTAATTCCTTCCTACTGGTCAATTTTATGGTCGTCCTAGTAGATATCAATGTCACATACTTCAATGTTGTTTCTTATTGGTTGTCCTGACTATCAATGTCACTTCAAATATTGCTTCCTATTGGTCGTCTTAACTGTCAATGTCACAGACTTCGATGCTGTTTCCTAGTCGACCAAAATGTATAAATACGTATTATCTGTAAGGTTTTATGACCAGGACCCAGTCCCGGATCCTGATTCTCTTCTGGACTCGGACCTCGTACTTTCTGGATTCTTGTAGAATACAGGTTCTACTTCATATCAAGTCTTGTCTTATTTTCACTCAATATGGGGGTTTGGATAATCGGATTTGAGTAGCATGTCGTGTCGCCGGATCCTCGATCCTCCCTCTCGATTTTCCGACTAGATAAACTCGTAATAGTTTAGGTGTATCAAGTTGACGTGTTTACGTGCAGGTGCGTAACAAATAATAATTTTATCATTGAAATGATAGAATAATTCAAGTTAGATAATTATTGAATAATTGAAAAGATTGAATAATATAAGTCATACTGTGGTGTACGCTACTTATGTTCACATAAGTAGTAGTATATGATATCAAACGGAAATCAAACGTCTGACAGCAAAAGAATAGAGAAGGAAAGAATGAGAGAACAGAAGGCGATTTGTAGGTAAGGGTAAAGTGAACTAAAGTCTGAACAGTCTAAATGAAAGAACACTGAAATCGGAAACAAATAAGGATTAGTTTGCAAATGATGATTTCACGGGAAGGTTTTGTACATATGCTTAACAACTTTGTAATATTCGCTTAAATATGTAGATGTTAATGTCCTCATCTGAATTTTCGTGCACAACAATACGACTATCGGTTTTGTGTGTGTTAGCATTTAACCTATTATAGACCACTGAAGTAGAATTCAACAGTGAGTAAGTCTAACTGACTGAAATTAATTCATGATATTGCGTCAACCTCTCTCAATGTCTTTCATCAGTGGATACCTTTCTCATACACAAGCCGATAGTGACACTTAAAATGTCTGATTGAAATAAAGTGTACGGACAGAACTGCTGTTGTCCGTAGCATTTGTTCCTACACTAGCCAATATTGTGTGACAAGGTAGGTACGTGATAGTGGTCGAAAAGATAGTCAATCAGTCAGCTACAACGTACCACTTTGTACACACGCACATTACTTCGAGTTGCTATACCACATTGACACACAGAAAGATAGAATTCTCAATTCAAATTACATTCAAGTTGGAAGTAGTAGAAGTATCAGGAGTAATGGAGAGGTTAAGGGATCGAAGATAGTATTCGACAAGTATAATTCAGTGAGATAAGTTTAGGAGGAGAAAGGTAGAGGTGATGACGAATTCAAAAAGATTAGGGTTCAAAGATATTATTCAAGAAGTAGAATCTAGTGAAATAAACTTAAGAAGAAAAAGATAAAGGTGATGAAGAACCCGAAGGTTAGCATTCGAGAGAAGAACACAAAGAGTGGATGCATCTGAGTCATTTCGAACGATTTTAAACCATGTTGTTCAAGGTCACTGTCATCTCGCAAGCCTCAACCAGGTAGTCTACATCTACCAACATGACTCAGTCCACTTGTCAGTGATTTCATGCACTTGTGCCATGTTTTGGTTTGACAGCCACTAGCTTCCTTCCAACATATTCTTACATCGCAAAGTATAGCTCGACAAGGCAGTCAGTGGTTAGGCATACGCAACACATGTTTCAATTACCTCAATCGATGAAGTCTCAATATTTCATCTATTGATCTGCCATCCTTACCTAAGATCTGTTTCCTAACAACACCAATGCTTACTCGGTTATTCCAGGATATACGAGCAATGCTTCGAAGACACCTATGATCGAAAACCAATAACCGACGAATATCTTCTACTCTAACTGGTCCTGTTTTGCAGCCATAAAGTTGGACAGAGCAAACTGCTGCGCAGTACACTCGTCTTTTGGTTAGCAAACGGATATCTCGCCTACACCATAAGTGACGCAAGTTAGCAAAAGCCAATCGAGCTTTCTGTATCCATGCTGGGCTTTCGTCAGTCACCAGGCCATCAGCACTGATGAAACACCCCAGATAAGTGAAGCGGTCAACGCACTCAATTACTGCACCCTCTAACACTAGTTTAGGTGCCGATACAAGCCAATCCTGAAGCAAAATTTCGCATTTAGACGGAGATAACCCCATCCCGAACATGCTTGCATTGTTGCTTAGGGTAGTAATATAACAAACACAGTGAGGTAAGTTTACAAAGAGAATGATAAAGGTCATGAGGAATTCAGATAAGAAGTTGAGAAAACACAAAGAATGGATGCATCTGCGCCACTGCAAACGATTTTCAGTCATGTCGTTCATACTAGTTACCGCTGTCTTGCCGACCCCAACCAGATATTCTACACCTACTAACGTGACTCAGTCCACTTGTCAGTGATTGCATGGATTTGTGTCATGTTTCGGTTTGACCACTCCTAGATTTCTTCTAGACTACTCTTCCTACATCAAACAACATCGCCTGTCAAGTTAGTCGATGTTCAGGCATACGCAACACATGTCCCAACCATCTCAACCAATGATATGACTCATTACTTCGTCATCAACCAATCTGACATCCTTTTTTATTCCCGATTTTCCTAACTCCCAAGCATCGTGCTTATTCCATGAGCCTAGTAGATACGAGCAATACTTTTCAGACATTGAGAATTGAATACAAGTATGTAGCGCTACGTTTTAAATAATCATTCAAAAAAAACTCACCTTATCACCAACAACACTTAATGCACGAACAGCTGCCAATCGTACATCTTGTATATCATCAGTTAACATATCAACTAAAAGATCTTGACAATTTAATGCAAATCGGGTATTCAACGATGCAATATGTGTCAATGTAGCCAGTGTAGTACATCGTATTTCTAGTATGGTTAAAAATTTTAGCAGATAAAAAAAACAATTAGAGAGAGGTTATAGACATACATGTGCAGCAAGACATGTGATTCGGTGTTAGTTTAGCATACAGAAAACGTAGTTGACACTTCCAGTGAAATTACAGAGTTATGGAGATAGTTGAGTTTCATTGAAATCATAAAACGATCCATGTTAGATCACCATTCAGTCAGTCAGTCAGATGCAACGTACAACTTTGTACGTAAGTGTACATCAGTTTAGGTTGCCATAGCACATCAGCACAGAGATGTAATTGTCAATTCAAATCCCATAATAGTAGAAGAGGTAGTGAAAGTATTAGAAGTAATCGAAGAGGTTAGGATGAGAAGATATTATTCAAGAAATATGATTCAGTGAGAAAAGTTTAGAAAGTCAAAACTAGAGGTGTTGAAGAATCCATGAGATTAGGATTTGAGAGAACACAAAGAGTGGATGCATCGGCGCCATTGCGAACAGTTTTGAGCCATGTGATTCAGGGTATCTAACCATCGATTATTATCATCTCGTGGACCCCAACTAGGTAGTCGACAATTACCGACATGGCTAAGTTCACTCGTCAATGACTTCATGGATTTCTGACATGTTTTGGTTTGCCCGCCCCTAGCTTTCTTCCAACCTAGTCCTACACTACAAAACAAAGCTCGTAGAGGCAGTCGGTGGTCAGGCATACTCAACACGTGTCCCAACCACCTCAACTGATGAAGTTTCACCACTTCATCGATTGATCTGCCATTCTTACCTAGCACCCGATTCCTAATAACAGCGTTGCTCACTCGGGTGTCCCACGATATACGAGCAATGCTTCGAAGACACCTATGATCGAAAACCAGTAACCTACGAATATCTTCTACTCTCATTGGCCATGTTTCACAGCCATAAAGTAAGACGGAGCGAACCACTGCACAGTACACTCGTCCTTTAGTCAGCAAACGGATATCTCACCTACGCCATAAATGACGCAGGTTGGCAAAAACCAATCGAGCCTTCTGTATCCGAGCTGAGATTTCGTCAGTCACCAGACCATCAGCACTGATGAGACTCACAAGATAAGTGAAGCGGTCTACACGTTCGACTACTTCACTCCCACCCCTAGCTTCCTTCCGGCCTACCCGCCCCCTTTACATCAGGCAGTATCGCTCGCCAAGGCAGTCGGTGGTTGGGCATTCGTGATACATCTCCCAACCACCTTGTATATATATATATATATATATATATATATATATATATTAACAACTACTTACCAAAGTAATCATCTTCTAATCCACTAATAATCGCTCCATTACAACCAGTCGATATTAAATTAATCGAATCTGAATTGACATGTTTCGTCGCTTGGGTACGATTATCCATTGTGGAATGTGGATTATTATTATTAGTAGTATTACTATTTTTATTCTTGCTTTTATTCTTTGATTTAACATCATTTTCCATCATATATCGACGTACTTGCCGATCAGTCATAACTGTTTTCTCTAATGTTTGTAATAAACAATTTTCTGTAACAAACTTTTGGACGAAAGAAAGAAAAAGCCGAAACGAAACGAAATGAAATGAAGAGAGACAATAGTGTAATAATAATAATGATGGTAAGGATAAATGGCTTGCCATTTGAATATATTTTGGTAAACAATGAATGAATGAATGAATGATACCGTGGATGTGTTTGGGGGACGTTAGATCCCTAGAACTCACTTGAGAAAGGTCTTAATTTTGAATTGTATTGATGGGCTGATCAGTTGACTTTGAGATTATATTTCCCACTGTTAGTGGAGCATAGATGGAATTAATGCATGACTACGTTGCTGCGCGCTGATTGGCCAATTTCCTATCCAATCAGCGTCTGATCGATTCTTGGAGAACAGGGTAGAAAATTCTCGTGTTGTTAGCTGCATGCTGATTGGCTAAGTGTAATCCAGTCGATCACGTGAATTTCTATCCAGAAGCTTCTCATGTAACTGCTATAAATAAACTAACGTTGTATCTATTTTTGCCTTCGCCTTCGGCTTCGTATTTCCATTTAACCTTTGCTATTTGGAATATAATCTTATCCTGTTCCACCGTGTTTTTGATTCTTTGGAACTTGTCCAGTGTATAGTGGTCAGGGAAAACTAAGCAATAGGATTTAGCTGGGAATTATTCAAGCATAGCGTTACAATACCCACCCGGAAAACCCTTAACTGTCATTGGTCGCTATTACACTATTTTTGTGTCTCACCCAAGGACGTTTCTATCATGTATAAACAAACTCGAATTGTGTGCTTGTCGACCTCATATTTTCTGGGTGCTTGTAGAATACGATTTTCGACGCCATATCAAGGGCTTCTGGGATGCTCAGATTAGAGTAGCCTATCGTGTCACTGGGTCATTGGTCTTCGCTCTCGTTTACCGACTAAGGTGAACTCCTAATAATTTCAAGCATATCAATTGACGAGCATAGCAGGATGAATGATAAGTTTGCGACGCTAGTGACCTAAAAAAAGTAATTTCCCTATTCTAAGAAATTAGATTCACGATTTTTGATTAAACTTTGTGGTAGAGGTAGCAAGCAGTAGTATGAGCAGTAATCTGGAAGAACATAGTTTGAATATATTATTCAAGGAGTAAAATCCGAGTGAAATAAATTTAAAAAAAGAGGAAAAAAGGGTCATGGTGAAATCAGAAGATAAGGATTTGGGAGAAGATAAACACTGGATGCACATGAGCAATTGCAAACGATTTTGAGACATGTCATTCTAAGTCTGCAACCACCGGTTATCATTGTCTCGCAGATCCCGACCAGGTAGTTTACACATACCAACATGGCTCAGTCCACTTGTTAGTGATTGCATGGATTCGTGAAATGTTTTCATTTGGCCGCCCCTAACTTTCTTCCAGCCTACCCCTATACCACAAAACGTCGCTCGACCGTGGCTGGGCATACATAGCACATGTCCAGTCCACCTCACTACTTCATCTATTGATCTGCCATCCTTATCTATTACCCGTTCCCTAACAACAACATTGCTTACTCCATAGTCCCAGGATATACGAGGAATGCTTCGAATAAATCTATAATCGAATACTAGTAACTTACTAATATCCTCTATTCTTACCGGCCATGTTTCACACCTGTATAGTAGGACGGAGCGAACTGATGTGCAGTAAACTCGTCCTACGCCACAATTGACTCAAGTTGGCAAAAGCCAGTCAAGCCTTCTGTGCCTATGCCAAGATTTTGATCAGACAACAGGCTATCAGCGCTGATGATACTTCCAAGATAAATGAAGCGGTCAACACGCTCAACTGTTTCACTCTCTATCACTAGTTCAGGTGGCGAACAAAGCTAGTCCTGAAAAAAGCAGTTTGAATTTTGCGGAGGATCGCATCCCGAACATGCTTGCATTGTTGCTTAAGGTGTTGAGAAGACTCTTCATTTTGTCAATGTCTCCATCAAATAAAACTATGCTATCGGCACATTCTAAGTCAACAAGCGAATCTCCAGGTAGAGGGTTAGATGATGAAAGTGTCATCTCTAAAGTCATGTCAATAACAAAGTTGAATAAGAATGGAGAAAGTGGACATCCCTGACTCACACCACTTGAAGTGTAAAGAATTCCGATGACATTTCGCCATAAGCTCTGACTTAGCCAGTAGTGTTCGAGTAGAGAGCCTGTATATGGTCAATGTACTTCTCTGGTATTCTTTTCAGTAACAAACATTGCCATAGAACCTCACAATCAACAGAGTCAACTACCGCCTAGATAATCTTTACGAATGATCCTATAAATATTTCATGATTCAGTTTATCCAGTACAACTTCGCTTTCGCTAATATACGTACACAGTACCAAGTTCAAATGACTGACGATCTGACTGGTTAGACTAGAATATAAGAATCTTGTGTATCAGTATGAAAACTAGACACCATACAACAACATCAAGTGTTCTTCTATACACAGCCTTAATCAAATGTTCACTTGTAGACTTCAAGTGTATATATAAGAACGAAAGAACATTAACGGAAACTGATTGATAGTGTTTACGAGAATTAGTGAGCGAATTTTACCCATGCGTAATAAGTACATAGATAGGTTTATACACTATTTGTTCTCTGACAATTCCGGAACTCATATACACTCTTAGTTTACAATCAAGGTTTTCCAACTCCTCTAAATTGATCCTCTATTTCCATCAACCAGGTTAAAGTCCGAGCCAAACACTTGCTTTTTATTCCCTCAGTTCCGTAAAGAACATCGCCGCCACGAAAACACATTGAATAGGACTTTCCTAACAGTGGCTACGTGAGAGCACATGGAGAGGGAAAGCAGACTCTTCTCACTGTTGACTATCCCAGGGCATTTGAAGAAAAAATAATCCATTCAACAAGTCGGTAACTTAACAAAAACAATATTTTTCTTCAAATTTTATGTCCGTTTAATTCTATTAAGTGTGTAGACAGAGATCGTCAGCGTAAAGTCTGGCACAGATGTGAATTTTCCGAAGTTTTCATACTTGATTAGCACAAAAAAATAACAATAATAACGAAGGAGATCGAAATACTGTAGTGGGATTGATAAAAAGAAATATTTAACTCTAGGAATACTTTTTCAAAAGACAGAAGGGAATTCCAGATCCAGAAGACGACAAAGTGTGCATCTAAGCCACAGTGAATTATTCAAGGCTACGTTAGTCAGTCAGTCAGTTGCAACGTAAGAACTTCGTACGTATGTACATAAGTTCATGTTGCCATACCACATTAGCACACAGAGACGCAAATGTCAAATCAAATCTCATAGTGATAAAGATAGTAGAGGTATTAATGGTAATGAAGAAGACTAGGGTTTGAAGATATTATTCAAGAAGTATAATTCAGTGAGATAAGGTTAGAAAGACAAAGGTAGATGTGCTGACGATTCCAGAAGATTAGGATTTGAGAGAGCTCAAAGAATGGATGCACTTGCGCCACTGCAAACGATTTTGAGCCATGTCATTCAAGGTCTCTAACCATTGGTGACATTCGTCTCGCGGACCCCAACCAGATAGCCTACATCTACCAATATGACTCAGTCCACTTGTCAGTGACTTCATGCATTTCTGCCATGTTTTGGTCTGGCCGCTCCTAGCTTTCTTCCAATCTACTCCTACACTGCAAAACATAGCTCGTCGAGGCAGTCTACACATACCAACGTGGCTCAGTCCACTTGTTAGTGACTTCATGGATTTGTACCAATATTTAGTCTGCTCGCCCCTACCTTTCTTCCAGCCTATCCCTACACCACAAAACAGGTCATCGAGGCAGTCGGTGGTTAGCCATACGTAACACATGTCCTAACAACCTCAACTGATGAAGTTTCACTACTTCATCTATTGATTTGCCATCCTTACCTAGAAGTCGTTTCCTAACGACAGCATTGCTTATACGGTTGTCCCATGATACACGAGCAATGCTTCGGAGACATCGATGAACGAATACTAGTAACATCTTCTACTCTTCACGGCCATGTTTCGCATCCGTATAGGAGAACGGAGCGAACTGCTGTGCAGTAATTCAAGGCTACGTTAGGTAAAGTGGTTGTCGCACGAACCCTAACCAACTAGTCTGTACCTACTTAGATGCCTGAAAATGACAGTCAATTATTTCATGTATTAATGCTCCTCTGTCTAAGTTTTCTAGCCTTCATTAGTTTTCTTCTAACTAAATTCTACACCATTCAACGTAGTACATCCATCCAGGTAGGCAGTGCACAGTCATACGTAAAAAACAATGCTTCAAACTACTTCAGCCAAAAAAAAACATAACTCTTCTTTACATATTACTCATTACTTACTTTAGCTAAATCAGCCATTATTTGAGCAGCCAATTGTCGAACACTTCGACTAGGATCTTGCAATCGACAACATACACGAATAAAAGCATCATCAACCAATTGAATTTCGTCCAAATCCGAATCCAAACATCGTTTTGATGATATTAATGAATTCAAGTTGAAAACAGGCGCATCTGTTATATTATGATGTGGCCAAATGGTACTCAATTTGCCAAGAACATGTAAACTAGTTCGACGAACCTTCAAGATGAAAAAAAATACCAGATAAAAAAACCAAATAATCTTATTCTGTATGGAATTCAATAAAATAATTTACAGCAATATGAGGTATAAAATCAACAATCATACAAAATATATCTAAGGAAGTATCATATTTGTTAATGACCTCAGCTTCTATAAATATTACAGATATCTTGAGTTAATGGACAGCGAGTGAAGCGGTTGAGCGGTGTTAACCACATCACTTACCTCGGGAGTCTCATCAGTGTTGATGGCCTGGTGAGTGATGAAATCTAAGCATGGAGACAGAAGGGTCGACTAGCTTTCGCCAACATGCGTCACTCATGGCGTAGGCCAGATATTCGCTTGCTAACCAAAGGACGAATCTACTGTGCAGCAGTTCGCCCAGTCCTACTGTATGGATGCGAAACATGGCCAGTAATAGTTGAGGATATTCGTACATTATTAGTATTCAATTACAGATGACTTCGAAGCATTGTTCGTGTATCCTGGAACAACCGTATAAGCAATGCTGTCGTTAGGAAACGAGTTCTAGGTAGGGATTGCAAATCAATAGATGAAGTATTGGAACTTCATCAGTTGAGGTGCTCGGGACATGTATTACGAATGTCCAACTACCGACTGTCTCGACGAGCTATGTTTTGTGGTGTAGGGATAGGCTGAAAGAAAGGAAGAGGCGGGCAGACCAAAAATTGGCACAAATTCATGAAGTCACTAACAAGTGGACTGAGCCATGTTGGTATGTGTAGACTGCCTGGTTGGGGTCCGCGAGACAACAATAACCAATGATCAGTGACTTTGAACGACACGGCTCAAATTCTAGTCTTGCAAATTCCTCATCACCTTTATCTTTCTCTATTTAGATTAACCCCACTGTATTATACTGCTTGAATAATATCTTCGAACCCTAATCTTCCAGATTACTGCTAATACTTTTACTAACTCTAGTACTATGGGATTTTAATTAACAATTTAATCTGTGTGCTAATGTGGTATGGGAACTTGATCTGATGTACGTACGTACGAAGTTCTACACTGTAACTGATTGACTGACCCAAGTTTCTGAGAAATTTATACACTGTCAGATGTGAATCATAGTTAATTTGTGAGCAGTTCCCAAAATTAGCAAATAAAAACTAGGCAGTTAGAAACTGTTCTACTGATCCTCGTCATTCTGTTTGGTATTAGTGAATTGCATAGTCCCAGTCTAACTAACTCACTGCTTTCTCATAATGCTAGTAGTCATAAAAATAGTCTTAATAATCAACCAAAGAACATTCTAACCCGTTAAACTGAAGCTATCCAATATATAACAGAAATACATGTACTTATGTAATATGATACTTGAGCCATAACAAGTCATTCAGTTACAACGTAGAACTTTGTACGTACGTACATCACTTCAGGTTGCCATACTACATTAGCATACAGAGATCGAAATTTCAACTCAGATCCCATCGTAGTAGAGGAAGTAGAAGTATATGTGGTGATCAAAAAGATTAGCGATCGAAGATATCATTCAAGAAGTATATACCGGAAGAATCAATTGAAAGAGAAAGGGATAAAACGGTTATGGGGAATTCAGAAGCTTAGAATTTTAAAGAACACAAAGCGTGAATGCACCTGCACCACTGTAAACGGTTTTGAGCCGTGTCATTCAGGGTCTCTAACCATCGATTACTAACGTCTCGAGGGCCCTAAACACGAATTCGACACCTACCAACATGAATCAGTCCACTTGCCACTGACTTCGTTTTAATGAATTGAAATTATCATTGGCTTTGTTACGTATTTTTCAGAATTTCATTTGAAATAAGATTTGATAGATAAGTACATTGCTTGGTTTATGCTTTAAATTTATTTTTGTATAATCCCTACATGAATATGTATACGTGACAGTTATAATTTATTGACTACATCTTTCATAGAAAGTTAGACATTTCCAAAGGTTGGAATCAATAGAATTAGTAATACGCATTCTTAAGGTTACGAAAAAATATTTCAAAATTTTCACAGTTCGAATTTTCAAGAAAACAATAATAGTCCGATTTAAGACTACTTAACAAAAAAATGTAAACAATTCACTACACTAGACAACTGTAGAGGAATACTTTTTTCAACAAAGGATTGGGATTTAAATTGAACAGAAAATGAAAAAGTTTGAGTAGGAATAGAGAGCAGAAAAGCATAAATGCGTTTATTTTCCTCGAAAGAAAAAATCACTAAAACTTACCAACTCTTCACTATCTAGTAGCCCTTGGCAAGCAGCTGAGTAAACAGACTCTAGATTCGTTTCAAACCACCCAGTTTCCTTATGGTTGTTGATATACTTTGCTTTTCCAGAACGATTAAACTCATTCGATTTTAGAACGGCGTTGAGTGTGCATAACCATGTTAGAAGACAATGAAAAGCACGATCACGTACTCTAGGGTCACCATCCCCAGTATGCCATAAAACAACTTCACCAGCTGAACCTGCATTAAGACAAATTTGTGGACTGTTCCATCCAGCTAGAACATCAAGACATCCAGAGCGTACATGGGCAGATGGACACGCAAATGCCTATTTAATAAATAATGGAAGATACAAAACATACTGGGACTTATTTCTATAGTGCTATAATTAAATATAAATAATGATAGGTTAATTAAATTCAATGGTACTAAAGTAAGTCTGGACAGATTTCAAGGAAAACTAACCGCTTATAAATATCTAGACCTTTGAGGTTGAAACTAAATATAACAAAAGTATCTCTTGGTTTGAAAAATCCAATAAATACAGACACTTCACCAAAAATTCCTTGTGTGCTGATGTTAGTCAACAAGGATTTCTATCCCACTACTTAAATAAGATACTGTCTCTTAATATGTAGGTAACTGGAACACACCAGCCAGCTATTCCACATTACGAGCGAATAGTTTACTTGCGAACATGACATGCTAAAATCATAAAATCTCAACTTATGGATATTCTAAGCAGTCTAAAATTTGCAAAACTGGCTCGAATGTTAAAACTGGTGAGCTGTATCTGTTTTTAAGCAATGATCTGAGGATTTAATTACGAATTGGAACTTTGACGATGAGAAATTTAAACCATAAGTTCAGCGTAGTAATAAGGATAGCATATTGCTTGGTCTGAATTAATCCTTACAAATCAAATAATAACTAAGTATAAATAATATATTTTATACATCGAGCTTTAACCGCACGATATTAGTAGGATTTACGCAACAATAAGTCAAAATAACTTTTGTGGTTTGTGGAATTGTCCATTTACGATTTAATGTTAGAATAAAAATACTATGAATTTCCCTGACCATCATAACCCGTTAAATACCTCGTTAATTACTCCTAAAACTGATAACTCTTGAGTGGCAGTTGCTGGGAGGTTGTGTAATTTTGCCAAAAACTTCTCACACTCTGAAGCGAACATTAATTATAGCCCGTCTACTAACTAACCTTGCAAAGGTCGTAACGTAGGTTGTTCAAACGTCGTATGCTATAGGGAAGAAACTAGCTTTGCAAGTTACTGCATATGGTGCGAAAATATCACTGATGTTTCTATATAGGGACATTCAAACAGTTAACTATCCAATATCTTTTTCACGAGCAAGTATAAACCGATTGATTTCTTTGCGCCAGATTCTCGTTCTTTCGGAACGGTTCCAGGTGTTCGATAGTGTCCGATGAATGGGGGTCTAGCCACTGGACTGTCTAATTCTAGTCAGTGGGCAGTTGAGCGTGAGTTTGTATGTCCCATGACTTGAATGAAAATGTTTGTTTCAGGGCAGTAGCGTTTCTAGATACCAGTAGCTATCACATTACCAGAGAATAATAAGAATAAAATTCTAATGCAAATCTAATAAGATTTCAGAACTAAGTAGTTAATGGATAATTTAGTTTCATAATTGTTAGTGAAGATTGTGAGAGAGAACCAAAGGAAACAGCGATAATAAGAGAGGTAGATTAAGTTATTGATCTGGGGAGATGACTATAATAACTGCTAGCAAGTCCCAAAACATGCTTGATGCACAGCTTTTCCACGAGAGAGATGATAATTCATATGAGTACGTGTTTATCAAGTCTCTTCTTGAAGCTGCCCGTTGAAGGGGCTGTGGTCACCTCGGTTGGTAAAACATTCCAAGTTTCAGCGACTCGCAGTGAGATAAAGTGTGCACGAAACTGAATGTTCGCTATTTAATGAGCGATTTTTCGAGGACTGCCTGGAGGGGAGTGGTGTGGAGGTATCAGTAAGATACTCACGTTGGGATGGTTTGGCGTGCCTAATATGTCGTACGCTATAATCAGATCACCTCTGATCCTCCTGTAACTCAGGGGGAATAATCCTAAGTGCTGTAGTCTATCTTCGTAAGGCTTATTTTTTAAACTTATCACCCATTTCGTTGCTCTTCTCTGCACTCGATCCAAGAGATTTATGTCTGCTTTAAGGAAACGGGGTGCGACGACGCTGCAAACCTCCAGTTGTGGGCACTCTTATGTCTCGAACAACGTTAAGAATAATTGTGGGGTGATAGTGTGGTGCTGTGGTGCGAACTACTTATAAGTAGTATATAGCGTGAGTGTCAACGTAAAGTCTGGTAGCATAATAGGGGGGGGAAGATCAAGAAAGGAAGAGTCAGAAAACAATGGAATTTGTATGAAACGCATGAATAGTGACAATGGATTGATGTTTGGCAACAGGAACAGTCCAGTTCGATATGATGAACTGATCTTTTGCAAATGAACGATTTACGATATGGTTTTCCGATTTTACTGAGTAACTCTGTAATTTTCGTTAAATACAATTCGGTTGCCTCCACCTGTGTTCTCACTCACTACATTTGGTGTCGCTGCCTACGCAAAGGATGAAGATTCCATGGCCGAAGGAGTTTGAAGACGGGGATGTGCGGGGCTTCCTGAAGGAGTTTGAGGCCGTGGCGGAGCTGGTGGGGGTGAAGGAACCGAAGGCGAAGCTGGTGGTGCTGGGGACGCTGCTGAGAGGAAGGGCGAAGGCCGTATATGACGGCTTGGACGGTGCTGGCGGGAAGACGCCATGGGAGGCGGTCGTTGAGCGGCTGATGACCGAGTTCGACAGCCCGGTGGACAGGGAGGAGGCGTTGCGGAAGTTCCGGTTGGCGAGGCTGTCGGCTGATGGTGACCCGCTGGTGCTCGCTGTGGAACTCAAAAGGTTGCTGCGCCGTGCGTTGCCGAATATCGATGAGGAGTCGGAGGCACAATTGTTGGCGTCGCAATTTATTGAGAGTGTGCCTGCCGCTGTGTCCCAGCAGCTGAGATTAGTAAATGCAGCACAACCTATGGACATCGGTGAACTGGCGAAGGTGACTCGTCAGCTGATGACACGAACAGTAGCTCCGGTCGGGTGCGAAAAGCAGGAGATAAATACTTTCGAGAAGAAGATTGAGGAGTTAGAGCGTGAGATAGCAGCATTACGAGTAAATCATAAAAGGAACGATAAATGTTACGCTTGTGGAGAGGCAGGACATTGGAAGATAAACTGTCCAAGAAGACGACGACGACGATATTTTAAACATTATAACGTGTTTTCCTTCCACCCTAGGAATTGGGAGGTTCTTGCACTAGTAGATAGAGGGGCAATTTATGCCAGAGTGTACATAAATGAACGAGAGTTAGTGTGTTTGATTGATACAGGGGCAGCTATATCGTTAATAAGCAAAGAGCAATGTAAGACAATTAAACCATGTACATTAGCTGTCCACACCATAGGAGGGCATATGCTAGAGGTGTTGGGGGTATCTAACAGTATTGTAAAAATGAGTGGAGCTGAGATAAATTTTCCGTTCGTGGTAACCACAAGCTTATCGAGACCGATATTAGGAGCAGATTTCCTAAGAGAGGTAAAAGCAATAATTGACTTGAGAAGCGGGAAAATGGTCACAAAGTACGGTTCATTGCCAATACATGAAAGTAGCGAAGTGGCTGAAATAAGGATGGCAACGGACGTCTCGACCAAGAAACCTAACGTTAACGAGTTATGCGCAAAGTATGCGAAACTGTTCACTGGAGATGGGGAGCCGTATGGATTTTGTGACAAAGTAAAGCATGAAATTCCTATAAAGAACGACCGAGTAAATATATTTACAACACGTCGTGTCCCAGTGCATTTAGAGGCCGAAGTAAATCGACAGGTCCAGGAAATGTTGAAGGAAGGGATAATTGAGGAAGCAGACAGCCCGTATAGCTCACCGGTACTCTTGGTAAAGAAACCCAATGGAAAGTATAGATTTTGCGTCGACTTTAGAGAACTGAATAATATAACAGACCTGAAACCGTGCGCAATGCCAACAGTAGTAGAAACATTAGATCGATTACAGAATGCCACGGTGTTTACAGTGCTGGATTTACGGTCAGGTTATTGGCAACTACCTATAAAAGATAGCGATCGCAAAAAGACAGCATTTACTGTACGGGACAAACAGTATCAATTTAAAAGAATGCCGTTCGGGTTGGCTGGTGCACCGTTCACGTTCAGAAGATTGATGACGCTGCTGCTTAAGAATCTAGATAATGTTGAGGTATATGGCGACGATGTAGTTGTATACAGCCTGACGGAAACAGATCACGTCAAGCATGTGGAAGCGGTCTTAAAGCGAATTGACGAATTTGGGCTTCGAATTAATAAGGAAAAGTCGCAGATAGCGAAAAACAGCGTCATATTGTTGGGACATAAAGTGGGAAACGGAGAAATAAAGCCATTACCAGAGAAAATTCTTACCATAAAAAATATTCCAGTACCTAATTCGAAAAGGAAGTTGAGACAGTTCCTGGGAAGAGCTGCCTTCTATAGTCGCTTTGTCAAGAATTTCAACGAAATAGCAGCGCCCTTATATAAGTTGCTGAGCAACACCAAGTTTACATGGACTGAGGCTGCCGAACAAACGTTCAACCGAATCAAAAACATGCTAGACGATCGTCAGATGACGCTGCGACTGCCTGAACCCGGTAAACTGTTTACAGTGGCCACAGATGCAAGTGATCATGGTATAGGTGCGGTATTGAGTCAGGCTGATAGAGTGGTGGAATACGCAAGTCGCGTTCTCACACCCGCCGAACAGAAGTATTCAACGATCGAGAAGGAATGTCTAGCAATCGTGTGGGCAGTAGAGAAATGGAGACCGTACCTTTTAGGTAGACGATTTCACATCGAGACGGATCATAAGCCCCTACAATGGTTGAAAACAGCAAAAGACCCTCGGGGGAAGTTGGCTCGATGGATGCTACGTCTGCAGGAGTATGATTTCAGCATCGGGCATGTGCCAGGGGAGGAAAATGTAATGGCAGATTATTTGTCAAGACCGGACACCGAAGCCGAACTTCCAGAGATAGCGTGTGCAGTTAACGGCCTAGAGGGAGACCCCCTAGAACTCGTCCGACATCAGAAAGCCGACCCTAACCTTCGGGAGGTAATCAGAGTGATAAAAGAGGGAGAAGATGTTGACAAGAGTGGAACAGATAAAGAATTAACAGTGTTGCTGAGGCAGAAGGAGAGACTGAGAGTGAACGGATACGGAGCCTTGACCTGGCGGGATGATGACGAGAATTGGGTAGCAATAATCCCAAAAGATCTGCGCCAGGAGATGATTCGTGAATGTCACCAGGTAGCGCACACAGGTATTGCACGGACAACTGATTTGCTGCGACAAAGTGCGTACTGGCCAGGTATGAGAGACGATGTTGCACGATATGTATTAGCGTGCCAGCGATGTCAACTAATGAAAGGAGATCGATGCATACGACCGCCATTGCAGTCAATTCCAGTAACAGCGGTTGGTGATTTGTGGTCAGTAGATGTTATGGGACCGTTCCCGCAGACGACAAGTGGTAACCAGTACCTGCTGGTGATGACTGAGCATGCCACACGATGGGTAAATGCCGTGCCGATGGCGGACCAACGTGCAAGGACGGTGACGGAAGCGGTAATGCGGCACATTGTGGCGGACCATGGGATACCAAAGATAATATTAACCGATCAAGGTCCCTGTTTCGAGAGTGATGAGTTCAAGTCCCGTCTAAAGCAGTTAGGTATCAAGAGAGTACGAACAACGCCGTATCATCCACAGATGAATGGGTTAACGGAAAGGAATAACCGAACGCTAAAGGAATGGCTAGCATCTAAAGGGGGTGACTGGGAGAAAGAATTACCATTAATCTTGCTGGCACATCGTGCCTCGGCACAGGGAACAACCAGGAAGTCACCGTTCCAGCTGATGTACGGCAGACGGCCGAGACTACCAACGCATGATAAAACCTGGCCGCAACAACAGAGATGGAATACAACAAGATTGAGAACAGAGCGGAGAGAAGCAATCAGGAATGTGAGAGAGAAACAAACATCAGACATGGAAAAGTCAGAACAGGAGAGAAAGAACTGGAGATTGTTTGAAGTGGGAGATCAGGTGAAGTGTAGAG